GCCATCGAGCGCTTCCTCTCTCGCTCGCACTCCTGTACACGCCCCCGCACAGTTTGGAGCATCGGAGACCATGCGAAGGCTTGTGGTGGCGTGCCCGCCTCGATCATAGCTTCGCCCTCAGCGAGACGTGCCTCGTATGTTTCCAGTAACGCCACCCGGAATATAACAGGCACCTCCGCGAAGGGCGGAGTTCTGGGGGCAGCCTCAGTCGATACCACCACATCGGGGACCGCTGGGGTGTCGGGTACGTCTGCATCGACGACCACCACGGATGTGTCATCCAGGTCTGGGTCCCACGTCGGCGGTACCTCGGTGGTGATCGCGTCGATGGCCTGGCTCTCGGAAGCGGTCACAAGAGGCGGGACGTCGATCCTCCGAGGCTCCAATGCCGGGGAGTCGAGTCGGGGGCCATCCATCCTAGGGCGTTTCTTAGGTCGAGGGCGATCTGCGCCTGAGGTGTCCCGCGAGCCATAAAATGCGGTTTGCTCCTGCTGCAAGGACGGGGGAGAGCCGGCCGGCCAGCTTCGATGCTCAGAAAAGCTCAGATGCTCAGAAAAAGGAGGATCCATGTCCAACGCTTCGACCTCTGCAAGCTGATCAGGCGTGAGGTCTGTGCCCGGCGTTGCGCCCACGGCTCGCGAATACTCAAGTTCCAATACACTTCTCGTACCCCCGGACCGTACATCCGATGAAGAGCTAGACCCGAAGCGACCATCAGCCCGCGCCCTTGCATAGGAACGTCCCAACTGTGATGCCAAAGCCATAAAAGCGTCCGGAGCCATCTCTCTCTGCAATACTCGCCGGTCCGTGGAGTCTGTGCGTGAGGCTGTATTGTAGAGTGTGATGGGGCGTGTTGAAGCTCCAGCGCTGGCATCCTCGTGTGGAGACTCCATAGCCAGGGATTCCGAGCTAGTACTGTCATCTATCGAGTATACCTGGATGTTCTCGGAGCCCACTGCCTCCAGCTCTGATCTCCGTCGTGCTTGACGCACATGCCTTGGCGGTCGAGCTGCCTCGCGCTCGCCGTCTCGCGGCCTTCTGTGGCGCTGACCTCTGCGCCCTCTCGGTCGACCTCTGGCCATGGTGGAGCGCCAACAGTCCGCTAAGACCCTGAAGGATTGTGCCTGCTTAGTGTGATCGAGCTGAGTCGGGACCCTACCGTGTTGGAGGTGACAGCGACCGAGGGGCCAAGTTATCAAGGGTTGGGCGAAGTTCGAAAAACCTGACCCGATGCAAGCCCCACTCAGAGCCCGAATGTCCGGCATGACATCGGTTGCTGTGACGCTAAGCATGATATCCTGACATTGTTGGCTGAGACAGGCATGCAAAGTGCACTGACGGCGGTAGATTGCTCCTGCATCAGCCGCGGCGATGCAAGTCGGCGGGCGGCAAGGGGCAAACAGTACCTGCGGATAGGGTCTAGATTCAGGGCAGTGTACCCTAGATGGGGCGAGGCTAAACCGAACCGGGGGGGTGGTGGCGCACACGGCAGGCTGATGGCATGGACGGAGGCAACCATGGCAGGCTAACCGAAATGCACGTGTTGACTGAAGCCTAGGAGGTGAGGTGGTGATGTTCTCGGATGGGGCACAGCCACCGGCGGAGGTATACCTACCAGCCGGTACCGGAGTGCACAGACTAATCCATGGAATTAAGGTCCAAGGAGCATCCGGATGTAGTGTCCGAGGTAGGTCGCCGAGGATGTTCCGATGCCAACCGCCTGGCGTGGGCTTTTGCGTCCGCCTGGGTCTCCCCCTGGTGTGAGGATCTCGAGGGAGTCGTAGTGAACTGAGTCGGTGGTCGCATGCCTTTGTATCCCAGTGTAAGTCCCTGCAGTTGTCCTGTAGGCCTGTCTGCGATTCCCCTATCCAACCAGAGCTGCGCCGTGGTGCGTGAACGGTCAGCAATGCCAGAATAAGTCGTAGAAGAAGCCATATAGGCATGCAGAGTGTAACCAGGAGTACACGCCGTAATGCTCAGTGCAAGTCAGAGGCGCGGGGAGATATGGCGTTCAATCGGTCAACCCTGAACCTAGAGGGAAAGAGGGGGGGGAGAGAGGGAACACACACAACCAAAAGAGTCCCAGGGCACTCGTAACTCTCTTGGGCCCAGACGCTTTGGTGGTGGTGGTGGTGGTGGTGGTGGTGGTGGTGGTGGTGGTGGTGGTGGCTGGCAGTGGCGGCGGCGGTGGTGGTGGTGGTGAACATGTGCTGTGTATTGTACTCTTCGCAGCCCTTGTTGTCACTACAGGTAGTTTCGATTGGACCATCATCATCCATCATCGAGATGTTACATATTTTGGGAGTTTCGAAGGTTCCAAGCTTCGGCCTTGCCTGTTTTGAATTCCCGAAATTGTGTGAGTGGCTGCAAGCGAGCACTCAGCCCATGTTGTTCTTGTGTCCCTCAGGGTCGATGGGGGGAAGCACCCGATTCTTTGGCAAGCTGCTTTTGCCCCCTGATGCATGCAGATGCATCGGATCACTATTCGGCTGTTTGCTGCACCATGTGCAAGATTTGTAACATGGCTCCATGATGTCGCCATGAGCCTTGGGGTAGCTGCGTGATGATGAATGGATGTCACGAAAGCTAGCTCTGTTGAGCTCGCGGGAGTTGCCCTTTAGCAATTTTCACTTGGTTTACCTTGTATTAAGGCACTAGGGCAAAACCAGGGCTTACACCTTATCAGGTGGGACGTCCAAGAGTTAAGGTGGGGGGGTGGGGGGGAGGAGGGGCCGCCCCCCCCCTCACCTCGCTCATGAAGCATTTTGAAGAGACAAGGTGTGGTTTCCCCCCGCCTCCCCCCCCCACCTTTAAGGTTGCGGCGCGTGGGACAAGGTGGGGGGGGGGCTCCCCCCCCCCTACCCACAGGTCCCCCCCCCCCTCCTTCCACAAGGTCCCTGAGTTTGCTTGTGTTTGAAGTTTGTCGTTTGCGCTGCGTCTTGGGGCGGCAGCACCTTCTAACTGAATGTGGCCTGTTGGCTTCTCATATTACGTCTTAGGGTTACAGAATTTGGGATTGAAAATCCAAGGTATCTTTCAGCCAGCTGACACTCCATGACACTGAACCGAACATACCTTGTCGCCTCGGCCTCGTGTTCGCAGTACCCTCATGTCACATGTGTCCCCCGCCTTACTCAGCCCCAATTGCTCGCAGCTACGCTTCCTCTCCCCTAGCTTTCGTGGCCCTCTTCTCAAGTATGCCGCTTCGCAGACCAAGTTTCCAAACGAATCCAGGGTCTTCCGTCTCGTAAGCCTCAAAGCTTTCCTACGTTCGCGGATTCACATTCAAGGTTCTGAAGTGACAATTGCATCTTCGCCCCAGGTCTAAAAACAGAGCCAAACACACCGACCCTCGTGCAATGACGAAAATTCGTCTGAGTCCCTAACCTCGCTGACCTCGGCCTGCGTTCAGGAGGCTGACGGCCACGAGCCCCAGGAGCAGCTGGGAGAGCAGGCCCGATAGCTCAGATGTTCTTCCCCCATCCATGCGAACCTGGCTCTTCGTCTTTGGGCTTTTTGAACATGGGAGTGCGAGTGCCGAGAATTTCAGAGGGGATCTTCGAGATGTCGGCACCGGGGGGTACATCGGTACATGTCGTGGTGTATACATGCATCTTTGTCATTGTTTGCCTGTAAGTATCTATACGGTGTATATAAACAAGGATGTATGCATATACACATATATATATACACACACATACACGCGTCTCTCTCTCTGTCTTTCTCTCTTTCTCTCGCTTCTTTAATACAATATCTACATCTGTACTACAAGTCTAAACGTACACAGATGCACGCTTCTTGCTGCATGGAACAGGGTAGCCAGGTAGGTATATCGTGGGGCTTGTCCGAGATGTTGCATGAATTTCCGGGGAATTCGATGCTTAACTCTGAGCCATCCATGCACACGAACATCAAAGCTCCTGAACTGGCCTTGAGGCGAAGTGACCAACCTAGCTTCCTACGCCAAGGCAGGACTCTTTGGTATGGTTGCCGGGCTTCATGTAATTGTCATGTTCTGCACGTTGCTGCTGGCAGACGCTTCTCAGCTCACTCCCAGCAGATGTTATGTGTATATATATATATATACATATGTCTACGTACATGCACATGCATGCCTTCGGATCTGGAGAGTCAGGGCTACCGCGAAGCCTTTCACCCCTCGACCCTGCACGGACCTACTCAGTTCTTCTCCTCAGAAACTTGAAAGAGCTTGCCGAAACTCTTGCTGCCCAAGCCTCGGCAAACGTACCCATGGATACTCTTCCTTTGTTCCCCCAAACCTTAAAAGCCGTACTAGAGTGCTCGTTTGCCTGCTCTCAAAGAGGTCAAAACCCTGAAGAAGTCAAGAAGCCTTAAGAGTTCTAAGGCTGGAAGCCTCAGTTCCGTTATTGGCTGCTTGGCCCGAGATCGGTGCTTGCGGCTTTCAATGTTTCTCTGCCTTTGAATCCAGTCATCCATTCGGAGTTGCCCAGGTATCGCTGCGGCCAAAGGTCGCTGTCAATCTGACTTGCATGAGAATAAGTTTTAAGACATATGTAGTGTTAAGTGCTTCGACGCAACGCTGAGGGCTCTGCTACGTCATAATCGTCTAGACATGGGGTATTGAGAGTACTGTTCTTGCTTAGCTGAAAGAGCTTTGCAGCCGTTGCATCTGCCGTGACCAGACGCTGGCACAGCGGGACAGAAGGAAGGGGCGTTCGGTGGCTTTGAATTTCGCTTCCCGAAAAGGATGCAGCATGCGGAAGCAACTTGCCGGCTGATAGCATCCAATATTACCTTGCACTTCCTGCAACCTTTGAGTCCTACAGGTCCTAGATTTGACAAGTGCAGACCTTTGCCAGAAAGCACTTGGATGATTGCAGCACTTTTACCTAAAGTTGGCGAAGATTCTCTCAACAGTGCAATCGTTTTCGGATTTTGGCATGCAAGGCCCGTAGCGCTTATCAATGTCCTGCCTCAGCCAAGATGAAGCATCGAACCCTGCATCTGCAGCCTGGCAGGCATTGGGTCAGCTCTCAGCTCACGTGCGACAGCTGGAATCCCGTCGGCGCCCCAGCACAAACGCGAGACTCGGGACTGGCTGCTCAACGGGCACGACCAAGGCTCCGGCGGGCGGCCCAAGTCAGGCTATGGCTCTGCTGCCGCCCCGGCCTGAGATCCCCAAGTGGGCCTCGGTGGGCCTGAAGATGCCTGAAGTATCCCGGGTCCAACGAAATTAGCTGGGTGATGCAGAGCTTGGGGCTTGCGGCTGATGACGTGGTTTGTCGAAACTTGGCAACGCGTTTCTTCTGGACGCAACTTATGCAGAAGTAGTGGCCACAGTCCTCGAGTTAGGCTTCTTCCGTATCTGTCAGAATGGAATCTGTTTAGGTACTTCTTTCCCAGTACACAAACGTCTTACTTGCGGCTGGCTGACCGAAAGGATCAAGCCCACAGCTGGTCCAAACAGTGGAAGCCCAGACCTGCAACATCATTGGACAATACGGGAAACGGGTCGCTAGATGTTTACCAAGCATGTCTGCTATGTTTTTCTCGATTGCATCTAACGTCTATAGCCGCCCTCTTCATGTCTCACTTCTTTAGCGCTCCGCACACCCCAGTCGAAACCCGCAGCCAGCCAACCGGTCAATCAGTCAGTCACCCCATCACACCTATACATGTATGTGTATGCACTGTACATTGCCATGCCATGCCATGGCATGCCATGGCATGCCATGTGTGTGTACATGCATGCATGTATGTATGTATGCATGTATGCATGTCTGTTGTATTTCGTGTTCATCGACCCAAATCCAAGCGGAGCTTGTCAGTTCTGAAGCCTGTAGCTCAGGCGTCCGAAAGTATCTCCAGTAGACAGCGGTTTGTACACTATATATCCAGAATGATTCTCAATCGAGCGAGAGACAGGAGCATAGCGAGGGAAAGGCAGTGAGATGCGGAGTCACTGAGAGCGAGAACGAGAGCACAGGGCGAGGGAGACGGAGAGGGGTGTACCATGTCTGAGGTGAGTGCACTGAAGCTCCAGATTCCTGAGCTCAAGGCTGGCAAGGCAGGGGGTTGTTGCTAGGACTCCGTGTGCAGCAGTAGGCATTTGTGGTTGTAGTAGCAGTTCATGCTATGGACGTGGTGCCTTTTGTGCTTGCTACTGTACAGGCCGCGTTACTTGTGCGCTGCAACTCGGAGCAATCCTGCATGGCTTTCTACCAGTTCCTGCCAGGTCCACCAACGACTTTACCTCGAATTCTACGATCGGCAGGTTTCCAAGCACACGTTTCGGTTTTTTTTTTTTTTTTTGGGGGGGGGGGGGGCCGGGCATGCATACTTGATGTTCGCTGCAAGTGCGGGATGTCATTCCAGATTTGGTGGAGGGCAGCTTTACCCACCGTAGCACAGGTTTGAGTGCCTTGATTGTCGAGCTTTGGGGTTTGAGGCCTGCATGCAACAAAGATTCGTGCTTTCTTGCAGGAACGAAAGCGTGCGCTGCAGGAAAGCGTGCAGCAAGCGCGGGAGAACGAGGTGCTGGCCAGTCGCTTCAGAAGCCGTTCCCTCGCCTCTTTCTGTAGACTCGGGGTTTGTGGTAGACCTGGTGCCTGGTAGGCTCCATCAAATTCCGACAGCCTTGACCGCCAGAGTTCAACTTGCAGCCTGCCGCAGGTGTTGGACATCTTCAAATCACAGCACCCCTGGCCGGAAACTGAGCCGCGCCAATCTCCAGCAACTTTCGTCACGGCTCGCAGCGCAACAGAAGAAGTGGGCAAAGGGAATCCCAACTAATTCAGCGGGCCTGGAAATCTGCGCAGTCACATGAGCGGCCGCACACACTTCTGCATGATCATGTGCAGATGTGCTTCAGGCAGTCTGCAACTATCATCTCTGATTCGCCTTTACATGGGCGTGCAAACGAAGCGATAGCGTACCTTTTGATAGGGGTCCATACTGCTGCGAAAACGGAGTCGTCATAGAAGTTAGGAGCGTGCTTCCCTAGGTGAACAGTGCGCAAGTGCTGTGAGAAGTTGAATTGAAATCTCGGGTCACAGTTCGAAGTGGTGTGCCAGCTGACATTCTGCTTACCACGAGGCTAAATGCGCTGTCAAAGCAGAGCGTCACCTCCTAAGCATCTGCACCTTCGGTCTCACAGCTCGCAGTGCGAAGTAAGTTTTCTGACTCAGGAGGTCTTCTCTTTCCTGTCAGCCTACACAGAAGGACGGGTTGACAGTGGAGCTTCAGGTTTGAGCAAAACATGGGAAAGGACACTTCCTTGCAATACAGGTTTCGTTGAGATCGTGATGCCCTCGAGAGGTCAGTGGTTTCCAGCCTGACACTGCAGGTTTTGCATATCCTCACGAATTGAACACACCACGGGGTTGTAGCAAAAGTTGTGCTGCATCTTTTGAAGCTTCTCAACCTTCTCTTTGCTTCTGGGCAGGAGGCTACCTTGTGGTTGGTCGGGATATTTCGGGTTTGGACGGTTTGGAGTTCAGACAGGGTGCCGAAGCCTCCCCCGATCTTTTCTAGGAGTGCTTGATGGTCGAGGTTCCAGGCTTTGTGGTGCATCTGACCAGACAACAGGGCCAGGCGTCAGGTTGCTCTGTTCTGAATCCAAGTCTCAACAGGGATGGAGCTTCACAGCTTTGTTCAATTGTTCCAGGGCTCTCCAGCGAGGAGGAGAAGCTGATTGAGGCTGGAGTGTGTCAGAAAGGTCTCTACATCGAAATCTGCACTTTCGTTCTTCGTCATTTGCTGGGTATGTAGGTGTAAGACTTTTGCCTCTGCGTGTGTATACATACCCTCATGCGAACACAGATTTAACAAAAAACAATGCATACCCGTGAGCAACGGCACAAACCAACTCGATCCAACTCGTAGATATGATATGTGTATATGTATATGTATATGTATATATATATATACACATCAATCAATCAATCAATCAATCAGTCAATCAATCTGTTTTCTGGAGAGTGCCACGGAATACGGGCCCGTGTTTTACAAGTAAAACTGTTGTTTTTTCGTATTTTTAAACACGAAGTCTCAAGATCTGAATCCTGCTGGAAGTCACGGGACTGCCAAAGGAATCCAAACCCTGGCACTATAGAACAGAGTAGGTGCCAAAATCAGTTGGATAAAGCAGTGCACTTCTCGTCCAACGTGTTTGTGCAGAAGTCCAAAACTCAATGTACGTGAAATGGTGGGAACCCAACACCAAGAAGGTGAAAGAAGCCGACACCACAAGAATCGCGCCAGGTTCACGACTGCACAAATGACAGGTGTTGGATCCTGCCGTAACTTTATAATGCGATGATGGGTAGCACATCCCAAACTCTACAAGACATGAACGGGCTAGCAAACGCAGGTACTAGCAAAACCTCGACCACAGAAGAAGTAAGTGGTTTGGAAGATTGCTCCCACAAGCGCCATCCCTAACAGGAGTGAGAGGTTCGGACAGCACATATCCTAAAGGTGGTGACTAGTTACTAGTTCCCAAGAAACTTAGGGGGACTTGTTGAAGATCTCAAAAAGATGATCTGAGTCAAATACCAAACATGGAGACGGGGACCAGCCATTGAGAAACCTAAATTTTAGCCGGGTTGGCTCAAATGCAGACCCAACACCGTGTGGGTCGCACTCCCCGGATACAAACATGAAAGCTTCTTCCCACATATCCCGCTGTGTGGCAGACCCAGAACCTGAGTCCTTAAACAAGGCCGGCAGCAGCAGAAACTCTAAAAGAGTTACTGGTTTTCAGATTTTGACACTGATGACTGATTGATAAAGAAGCTCAAATCCTAATGATAATAGCATCTCGACAACCCGAAGTGTCAACGAAATGTTATGGCTGTCAGGCCTTGCAGACCCCATAAGCGCTCTGCAAAAAGGGCAAACGAGTTTGCGTCTTCAAAGCAACCCATGCGAGGAATGATGGATGAGAAACCTTCAATTAGATTCAACTCCAATAGTTTTCCAACATACCCAAACCGTAAAACTTGAACCCAATATCTGAGGAATGCCAAACCCCAAACCATGAAACACCAAACCATTAAACAACAATCTTTATGAGACCCCCAAGTTCCAGACATGACACAAAATCTTGTGAAAGGGTATGCTACCTCGCAATCTTCAAGCCCCAAGATAAAAAAGCAAGCCATGATCTGCAAAGTCGGTAACTAAGTTCCAAAAGTCCCCAACAGCCTGGTAGGCGATCTCGCCAGCTTTAGAAAACTGTCGTCTCGTTTAAAAGCATACTTGCGACCCAGCATCCCTTACTTGAACTTGGACTTATATTTCCAGTCCCAGTAGCACCGTTGAGCAATCTCTTACTATACCTTGGGGATCTTTGGGTTTTTGTCATCCATGATTCATTCCCCTGGTCGGGGTCCTGTCACTCCTGCGGAGATTTGTAAGTAAGGTTGGCCACCTACCTGGTCATATTCTTTTAAAGATTCGGGGTTTGCACCTGCCACCCATCGTCTGTTACTAGTTTGTTGTTTGCGTTTTCTGGGAACACGTGGTTTGCCGCTCATCGTCTCCTGTGGCGGTTGGTCTGCGACACAATTTTGCCGACTGTCGGGTTTGGGAGGCTCCGTCACCTTTCTTAGGGTTTGGTTCTCAGTGCTGCCTTGCCGCGCACCAAGCCCTTGCTGGTAATTCTATTTTCTTGCAACGATCAATACCTCCCGTTACAGTGTTCAACTTCCAATCTCCACCACTCACTCCTGTCAGGGATTTGAGTTTTTGGGAACCGATTTTTGGGAACCGGTTCCTTACCGACTATTCCTTTCAAGCCATTGGAGTTGCCAAGGTTGATTTTTGGGTTCGATAAAGGACGGCACCTATCCGCAGCGTTAACGGTCTGCCACGTGATTGAGCATCAAAACCATACCCTATTGAACGTTGTCGGTTTGGGGAACTGAGCCACATCTTCCAAGAGTGGGGTTTGCCATCCAATCCTCCTTGCGTAGGGCTTTCCCCACATCTCATGTTGGGGTGTTTTGGAACCAATCTATCTTTTGGGGGTCTTGGGTCTCTTTGCCTCTGCGGGTCCCATATCTCATATCTCTTTAGGGTCTCAGATTTTCGGCGCCATTCGCACGCATGTACCCACCATGATCGATTGAAATAGGTATACCATGTATTATCAGCTTTCAGATTTTCAGGTTTATGAGCTTATGAATAATTACTATAGTTACTATATCGTTAGTACTTTTTGTGTCACCTGCTGCACGGGGTCTCTGATGCCCGATTCCAGTCGCTCGCATCAGCCCAACATTCCGTATTGAGGTCGTGCAACAACATACGTTTTTTCGCTACTGGGCTTTGTCTACACATATGTACCTATATGTACACATGCACATGCCTATGTACGTCCGTACATCTAGGAAATAGACTACACATGTCTTACTCACGTATTTTCGCATGTACACCAATACACACACATAAATGAATAAATGTATATGTATATATATATATATACATATATACATATATACATATATACATATATACATATGTACATATATACATATATACATATATACATATATACATATATACATATATACATATATACATATATACATATATACATATATACATATATACATATATACGTATACCTCATTGTATATAGACATTCATACATACACATACATGTGCATTTATAAACATGTATATATGCTGGTACATACATAGTCCATGTTTGTGTCGTCAAGTATCTGACGACGGTGACAACCATACACAAAATACGAAGTCTGTTCCGGTCTACCTGCAGGGCCTGACATCGCAGGGGAGAGGGGGTCCGGGAGGCCGTCCTAGGTGGGCGCGCGCGGATGAGGAGGGGCCGGAGGGTCCTGGAGGGGGGGGGGGGGAGGCAAAAAAAAAAAAAAAATACTATTTTTTTTCCCGACCCCCCCCCCCCCCCGCGGAGCCTAGGACCCGGCCCTCGGCATAGAGGGATGCACCTCCAAATAGAGTTGCACCTTCAACTCCACTTGACCACGTGCATCCGTCCATCACGTTTTTCGTTTTTCATACTTTTTTAACACATGGACATTGACATTCAAGGCACATATACGAAATCTTTGTTAACAGCCAACACACGGCTAGGCCATCGTCAGCATGTGTGCTTTCTGGCAATGTGCAAAAACATGGGCCCGTATTATGTTGTTTTCTGTATATATATATATATATACACGTAGTTACATATATATATATATATATGTATGTATATACACATACATACATACATACATACATACGTAGACATGCATATACAGCTAGAGAAGCAGCTACGCCCGACCTATAGTTTTAAGTTTAAGGTCATCTTGTAGTTGGGTCTGGGCCCGAACACACTGTGTTTGCAACCGGCGGTATGCATGGCATTAGGTTAGGTGTAAGATGATGATGCATGCTATGAGGCCAGCGAGCTTTGGCGGACTCATGCTGAGGTGGGCCCGTGGCATTCAATCTCTGTCAGAACTCGCCGGTTCCGCGGAATGCAGCTTTGGCTCGTTACCGTTGAACCCGCACCATCTGAAATGCTGGCAGCTGACTGCAAAATGGGAGGGGCAGATGCGCAGTCGCAAACTCTCGAGTCACTGTGAGGATTGCCATGCCCACGCCTCCTCTGACAGACAAAACTTCTGGCATCTTCTACAGTGACAGAGCCGGTTAAGAAACAGTTGATTTTTCGTGAGGGGGGGCTCGATTTCCCAATTTTGAAGCGCACGTCATTGTAGTAAAAACAACGTTTCGGGATTTGAGGGTACCCTGGATTTCTTAACCCAAAAATCTTAGCTTGCAAAATGAGAGATCGAGCCCCTCAATTTCTTATTTTGATGGTGTTTTCCTTTATGGCAAAGCTTAATTCAAGCCTTCACAAAGCCTCTAGAGCCCTCCAAGGCCGTTTTTCAGGCCTTCTTAAGCCTTTCGTAGGCAAGCGCAGGACCCCACAAAATAAGAGATCGAGCTTCTTGTTCTGGTGTTTTTTCCCTATATGCTGAATTTAAGCCCTTATGGAGCCCTTACAAAGCCTCTAGAGCGTCCAAAGCTGTTATTAAGGCCTCATGAAGCCTTTAGTAGGTAAGCCCAGAACCCTCCAAAATATGAAATCGAGCCCTTCAGTTTCTTTGACTTATGAAATCGAGCCCCTCAATTGCTTATTTTGGTGATTTTTCCTTTAAAGCCTATAGAGTCCTGCAAAGCAGTTAGGGCTTTGCGCCGGAATACGAAATCTACTCCCTTAACCTTAGTTTCTTGGTTTTCTTTCTTGCGCGAACAAAACCAGCGAAGACGAAATCAGAAGAGCAAAATAAGAAGTTGGCACTCCGAGTCCAGGGTACGTCCAGGGTACCCTGGATCTCTTATTTTCAACGTGCGCATTTTTGTTTTTTGTCGCACGGCTGTCCGAGGGGCTCAATTTCTAAAACCAATGATTTCTTAAGCAATGCTGTTGCTGTAGTTGAATCACCCGGTGTGTGAGAGCTCAATGCCAGAATGCGGCCGTCTATCCTTCCGAACTGTATCTTCATGCCTTACAGTTTATCGAGCAGCTTCTCATGCAGCTGACCGAATCACAGGTCGAGACAGCTTGGCGAGAGCAGCTTGAGAAGCGCTACTTGTCTAGACAGGCTGTGGCACAAAATCCACTTTTCCGGGGTGCTAGAGTAGACGATTGCATCAAGGCTTCACCCGACCGTCGCCGCCACAGCGCCAGGTGCCATCCCCCAGGCCAATCCCAGGGAAAGCATCAGAAAAAGCCTGCATGCCAGGATGTCAGGGAAGGGTCTTCGACGAGGGAAGTGCTGGCTGGTGCTGTGAAAAGATCTACTTTACTGATCCTGCAACTTGCATCCTTGCACATGGAGCACGTCGATTGGGAATGACATGCAGACCATTCTGGAAACAGATGCTGTGATGCTACCCGTACCGTAAGAGCCAAGGCGGGGACGGAGGCATGTAGAGTAGGCAATGGTAGCATAGTTCTGGTACTAACATTCGTACCCGTGGTATGTCATGCTGCGGATTTACACAAAGAATCGGTGACGCACCAAAGTGTTGACACCTGATACTTCAATTGGTTAGTTTCACTTTGCACAAGTGTGGAAGCCCTGATTCCAATGTCCACGACCGACACCCGTTTCAAGCCAGTAAGCCTGCCTGCGAGCAACATGCAACTTATTAAGCCTTGCTCGTGTGTTTCTGCAGTCCCGTTGTTGGCATCAACTCATCATGGCTGTTGCGGTCCTGCAAGCCAAGAACCCTGATGCTATGCTCGTCGAGTGACAGGTCTCCGGCCAGTCCGCAAGCGGACTCCCCGGTCGCAGGTTCCAAGAAGCAGTTGATCACACTTGGAACGGCTGAACATGAGATGGCCTTCTGTTAGTTTGCTCCGTGCCAATCCCTCTGACCATCTCCGACCCGATACTGCTTGACACATTCTGAGCAGGTTTGCCTACCAGAAGGCTTAGATTGAACATCTGGTGTCCACCCGCGCCAGTTCCAACGTCGACGCATCTGGCTGCAAACTACTACCCTCTGATCATCAGTCGTTTGGCAGGCCCGAACTGGAGAGCTCTGTTAGGGATCGATGCAGCGGGTAAGACGCAGATCATCAAATCCAGTAGCGGCGGAGACAGAGTGACTTTCGACCTGTAGGTGAGGAGTAGCACGGCGTGGCCGACTCAGCTGCCATCCTGTGCCAGGAGAGACGACGCCTGCCGGCCCATCGTCTGAGAGGCGCTGAAGGGTCTGAACGGGACGCTCCGGGAGTGCGACAGCCCCATTCATTGCGGCCTTGGCCCTTCGGGCATGTTGGACTTCTCCGGCTGCACCATTGCCAGATCGGGAAAGGAGCCTGCTTAGAGACAGGTTTTCTTGCACAGACTAATGCACGCGGTGGCCGTATTTCCGAGGCAGTCTCCTGTCTCGTCTTCTCGAACAGGCCCACAGTGTGCGTCTTGAGTGCAGTCCGGCGAAGGCGTAAATGTCCGCGTCTAGTCGCTGCATTCATGGATTCCATGGGTTCAAGGGATAGATTTGTGATCAAGACCAGGGTCGCAGCGCAGGGAGCCAGGAACTTCGGGGCCCCCTTGAGCGCGGTTCCTGGCTTTGGGAATTTGTGTTGGGGCAAATTCGTTGGTGTGTGAGGGCCGTGATCAGAACTATTGCGTTGCAGAATGTCACAGATAGGTTTTGGTTATAGAGCTTGAAACCGTCTGTGGCACTAACCGTGAATTCCGACATACTGTTACATGGTAAGTATCAGAAATTCAGCATCAATACGCCCTGTGGAAGAAAGACAAGTAGACCGGCAGCCAGAGACTCAGGAACTTTACTTCATGACTCGTGACCGATGCAGCTGAACTTGAATTCGGTACCCGGCCGATTGCGAAGCTGCAGCCAGTCCACAACCCACCCTCTAATCTACTTGTAGGGACGAAGGCCCCGGACGATTCCTGACACTGCAAGTTGCCTGGTTCCGGCCGAGACCACGGGTGATAATCTTTCATCAAATCTGAGCCCCCAACCCCGAGCCACAAGCTGGAACCCCTTCGGCAAGTGGCAGGCTTGAGCGGCAAGCTGCAGCGCCCGAAATCCTCCGGGGCAGCTTGGAAGATTTAGTGCAGCTTTTGAGGCTTCGTTGAATGTTGGGTTGCTTTCGGGCGCGCTTTCAGGGTGGTGGTACTCTTAGATCTTGGTCCGCTCAGTCTGCTGACCCAACCTTGACCAGGCCCTCAGCAGCTCGTACGGCAGGACGGGCAGGACCCTTGTGGAATGGATTCTGTGGATTGGGCGTGTTAGAGGTCGGGTCAGGGTGAACTCTGCACGTCAGAAGCCCGCGCTTGATGTGACTGTGAGCCGTGCGTAGTACTACCTGCTACACGTATGTTGTGACCCGACAGCTGCACACTGAACACCGCCGCGTTAGTCACGTCGTGGTTTTCCCGGCCTCGCCTCCGGTTCGTGCATGCTAATGCATGGTCAGCATCGAAAGAACCATCGCCTGGTGCCCTACCTGCCATCTGCTATCGGCCATGAGCATCAACGGCGGCATGTGAACACATGCCTTTGATTCAATGATCCCTGCCGAGATCTTCAATCTTTGTGTGCGCGAATCTTTTGACTACCTGACCAGGAAACCGTTGCAAGCTGGGCTCTTACCAAAGATCGGCGCGATACTGTCCCAGAACAGCTGCAGGACGGTGCTACGTCAGGAAGCGAGGGGCTGATGAAGCCTTGATTGTCCTGCATGGTTTAGGACCTGACAAGTGCCAGAGCTCAACGGTCACTGCGTGATATAGAGCCACAACAGGGTAGAGAAAGCAGTATAGTATAGTTTCTGTCAGAAATACTGGCACGGGAGTTAAGTGCCAAGGCAACATGCACGCGGAGACACATGAACCTGAGCAAGGATATGCAGTCCCAAAACCTACATTAGCCCTCCAAGCCGTCCAGCGTCCCTCACAGAAGTGCCTTGCCCGGACGCGATCCCAAGGCAAGTCAAGACACGGGAGCTCTAGACAACCGCAAGATTCGAGAGGCTTCCTTGCACGGTCCATGCTGAAATTTATCTCGAAGGAGCTCGTATCGTTGCAAGCTGTTGCAAGACTCAACAGCACTGAGTGCTGCATTGAAAGACGTGGTGTGAGGGATGTTAAACGTAATTCTGAAGCTCTCAACCCCCAAACAGGGCCTGCGTCTGCTGGCCTCGAAGCCAGGGGAGGCTGCTGCAGTGCCTTAGCCGCATGAGGGAAAAAGCCTTCCAAGGCCCAAGAATGTTTGGTCATTGCAGGTTTCTGCGATAGAAGCTCTTGAAGGTTTGTGGATGGCTTTGTTGAAGTCTGAGTGCCCATACTTGTGGGAGTTTGGGCTGGGGCACTTTAGAGGTGGCTGCGCCAGATGTCCATCCCGATGTCCCCTGCAGTTCAGAGCACAGGATTTGCAGCATGAAAAAGATGAAGATGTTCGAAGATCGTGTGTTGCCGGGGCCGTAGGCGCAACCACATCTGCCTCATCCGTGTAGGTCACCAGCTCCTGAGTTTACCCCTTCATCCTGGGCTAGCCAGCGTTGCTTTGCCACCAGGTTCGGAGCTCTTCCGCATCTGCATTGATGAGGCCTGCTGAGCTAGAAAGCGGAGTGCAGCTTGTTTCTACTCACTGCATCTCACGGGCTGTCCAAAAGAAGCGTGTCGGGAATCCTGGAGTGAGGTTTTACCTACCCCGGAGTCTGAACCCCAACCGCTTTGCAGCCAATAACGTTCTAGGATGATACCGGATGAGCTGCAAGCGAAGCTTTGTGCCCGCAAGGCGGCCATCTGTGCGCTGCCTCCTGTGATTTTGGCACAGAAACAGTTTGCATGTCCGACAGACCTGAATCTCAAGATCCGGGGTGTTAACATGTTGTTGGAATCTCTCGGAGGAGAGACAGGTGTAGTCGCCTTCAATGGGATTCAGAAGGCTTCTTTGTCGACATGTTGGTGTTTCACTGCTGCGGCACATGCCCGTGCACAAGGTTTCGGAAAGTATTCAGACATCAAAAAACGATAGATTCCTACTGCATGCTGCGAAGGGGCGTAAACTGCCATTTCGACCTCCTTGGCACGTCTCATGAGCCATTGTACACATATGCCACTGGGAAGGTCAGTAGATGCACAAAGGCTGCAATGACCATTGGCCATTCCACGGCGCAAGTCACTTCTTGGTCCTCGGTACAGGAAGCGGATGCTTCGACTAAGGAGATTCACTCGTCTACTCTGGGACACAGCACCCAACCAAAGGGGGCTGAACGCGAAGAACGCGGTCAAGGAGATGCACGCAAAATCTGAGAATTGCTTCTTCTGGGCGAAGTTGATCTTCTTACGACAAAAACTTAAGTCGAGACTGCTAGTAGAGGGCTCTTTGTGTTCCAATCGCGACCCATCATGCGCCTTGCGGTGGTTGCTGCTTCTGCGCTTTGGCGGGACAGCTCAGCAGAGCAGACCTTAATGCTGGGATAGCCTCAGGGGTGTTTCACCCTGGTATCGAAGCTCCGGACGGCCAGATCCAGCCGCCAGGGATCAAGACAGGACAGAGGCAGGAAAGGACGTTCATTCGCCATGAGTCTCGTCGCAGAGCTGCCTAATGCCGGGCTTCTCAAGAAGGTCGCGGATGCCATGAAGGACTGCGCATGCACGAGCTAGCAACTCCGGAAGAGCCAGAAGAGCCCGATCACAGCTACTTCTGTCGGATTGCCCATTCGTCTAGAAGCAAAGTGTTGGCACGACGAATCCGGAGTAGCCCGGCGAATGTCATGAAGCCGCTTGTAGCGACGACTGCACCGCTTCCCTCGTAATGCAGGATTTGTGCAAGGACGTCAACTTCGATTGCTCTGAGAAGGGTATCCAGGTGCGCCCCTTGCACACTTCCCGAATCTTCCGGATACGTAAGCTACAGGGAAAAGATGGCGATGTTTGCCCCAACCTTCCAGCGCAGAAGCTCTTGCTATTCAGCCCCACGAGATGTTCGAAGGCAGCAGACATGAAATGAAGACTGGAGCCGGAGTGGCCCCATGCGAATGCCTGGTTATGCCAACCATGGAAAAACTTCACCCGCCTTGTCCAAGCTTACTAGTGTGAGCACTGCAGATGTTGGAGAGCACCTGCAGCATGCAGGTGCAATCTATGGACAGCTCGCACGTCGCTTTGGTTTCCCTGAACCTCAAAGAGTCTGCATTCAATGACTTCAAGTGTGAGCGCCCGGCACTCGAGCCCAACAATACGTCTGAAGCTGTCTTGCGCATAGGCTTCCTATCGGATTGAGTTGTAGTTCGACTTGCGGGGGCTTTGGTAAAGGTTCACGCACTCACAATTGCACAGCTAAAGCCGAGGCATCGTTGGGAATGAACGTGGACTCCTTGACGAAAATCCTCAAGATGACGAGCCCCAACGACTCGCTAAAGATCCGACACCAGGTTGACTCGGATGCAGCTTGCCAGTAGTAGTGGTAGTAGGAGTAGGAGTAGCAGGAGTAATGGTAGCAGCAGTAGTGGTAGTAGTAGTAGTAGTAGTAGTGGTAGTGGTAGTGGTAGTGGTAGTGGTAGTGGTAGTGGTAGTGGCAGTGGTAGTGGCAGTGGCAGTGGCAGTGGCAGTGGCAGTGGCAGTGGCAGTGGCGGCAGTGGCAGTGGCAGTGATGTGGTAGTCGCAGTGGCAGCTGTTGCTGCTGCTGTTGTTGTAGCAGCAGGAGCAGCCGTACTTGTGGCAGTGACCATCTCGCGGTGGTGGTAGCAGCCGCGTGCACCGGGAAGAGAGCAGCCTACAGTGTTTCTGGACGGATGGACTGAGGTCGTGGGCTTTCAGTGTGAGGGTTCAGACGACCGGATCTCAGAGTTCGAGCTAAAGCTCATGCAGATTGAGAGCGAGCACATGGAGATCCCTGAGCAGCACGGGCCCCAGTTTCATTAGGAAACGAGTCGAGTCGAAAACTTTGGCTTGCTTCCACGACCAGTGGCCAAGCTTGTGCTGTCAAGGCACTACAAGGTCATCGCGAAGCTACCCTCCTCCGAGTTTCAGAAGATCTGCCGCGACCTGAAGGAAGCAAGTAGCCGTAGACGGAGATGTAGTTGGACTGGACGGTCCCCCAGCCGTTTGAGCTACCCATACTTATCGTCACAGTCTCCGTCCTAATTTCTGTCCTGCTTGCACCGGCAGAACGTGACAACACTGCAGCATGGGTGAGGGCTCCATTCTGATTGCTCTGCTCGGCTGGGCTAGTAATGAAGCTTGCAACAGCTTGCGAGGAGTTTGGGGAAACTCTGCAGCTGAGCGGCAGCAAGGAGGGTCTCAAGTTCCAGGTGAAGGGCGACATCGGCAGCGGGAATGTCCTGCTAAAGCCTCGCGAGAGCGAGAAGCCCGAGGAGAGCACTTGTTCAATTGGGAATCCCTTTTGGGACTGTCGAACAAGAACCTCTGGAAAAGCATGCAAGACGGAGTTGCGATAGTTACCAGGGCCACGAAATTGCCACGACCATCGTCATCGACGTCGCCAACATCAGGACCATAATCACCATCATTCTACTCATCATCATCACCTTAGACATTTCGGTCACACTTTCATTGAGCACGGAATTGCGGCTGCGAGCCCACACCGGCTCCGGGTTTGCTGCGTTTGTTGAGGCCTGGTCCGGAAGCCCCGGGTTGATGTCCGACACGTCCCCCGTGCTTGGAGGTGTGTTTCTTCTGGTTGTTTGTGGTTCTATCCGTAGTGCATGTAGGGCATGGGAGTAAGCCTGCTCCGGCAGACATCTGGTGGCAAATTCCATAGTTTATGGAAAGCACGAAAGCAAGCAACTGCCATCCTGGACAGCAGAGCTCTTAAACTTGCACAGGGAAATCGTCGGTCGACACCTTTAGTTCCTGATTCTGTTGTCATTTCTCAGACCATGAGGACCCCAACATCCGCTCTGGCTGGCCTAGCAGAACCAACACCCGGCAAAGCCGGCCCCAAAACTGCTGCTCATTCCTTCCCTCGGAAGCATGAATCACAACTTACGACTCTTTTTTTCACGAAAGCAGGACAAGGTGAGTCTCACCATCCATGAGCCCGTGAATGCAACCTTTGCCTTGCGCTACCTGGTGAATTTCTCCAAGGCCCGCGGTTCCGCCTGTAGCACTCTAGATTGGTGAGTATAGGGCAAATCGCAGTTTGCAGTGTGCTTGTCTCCATACTTCGATTATGGCCTTTCGCGAATGCTGCTTCTGCTGCAGCGCAGCTCTTGTGGAAGCCTTCCGTGCACACCTCTGTCATGCTTAAGCTTTGGGCCTAGCAACGGCTTCGGCCTCTCTCCTCAAGATTATTGCGAGTGCCGGGCAGCTTGACATGTCGAACGAAAGGGATGTGTGCGCCAATTGAAAAGAGGACAGAGTCCCGCTGGCTTGGTCAAGCTGCGAAAGTTGAATCCTTGAGCCATTGAAACCTTTGCTTGACGATGTTGGTTACTGCTGTTTTTCGTTGAGCTGCCTTGGTTATGTTGAGTAATCGTGCGGTGACGGATTCACCCGAACAGGCAGCGCCACTCTGTGGCTCGGTGACTCTGGGGCTTGGTCCGGATGCGCCGTTGCTGGCCGCACAGCCGCATTCGAAGCTTCGCAAACGAGACGACTGGCAAGGATGTAGGAAAGGTCACAACTCTCCGGACGAAAAGCAGAGTACCAGAGACTGTGAAGGTGTAGCAGCCGGAGCGGAAGTACGTAGTGAAAGTGGAAGTGCTCGAGCTGCCGCTAGTTGCCAGCTCTGCGGACGACGTTTCCTCCCGCAAAAGTTGGATTTCTCAACATGCCTTGCTTGCGACTCCGGAAGACGGAACGGTGAAAGACAAGACAACGAGCAGTCAAAGTTGGGGGAGCTGAATCCCTCTAATGCTAAAGGGATCTAAAGGGTCACCAGTCTAGAGAGCTTGAAGCTGCAGGTCCAGTACGACCTGGAGAGCGAGGACGGCCCCTGGCCCTGTTGACAAGTGAACCTGCACATCTGCAATATCATTGTTGGGCCGTGTCGTCTTAGTCTTGAATCTTTGTGACATACTACATGCTGCCGATGACTACTTAAGTATGGTCGCGAAAGCCTTCTAAGAGCTTTCGCACGGCATAGCCGGCAGCTTCAGCACTCGCCCTGCAGCCCGTTTGTCCGTTGCATAGTTACCCTCATCCTCACCCTGTTGAGCTTTCGTCACCTAGGCAGATGCCGATTCTGCATTGTGTTTTTGCTGGCTGCAGTTTGCTTTGGCACAGCTGCAGGTAAGGTGACTTTCGAGTCGTGAACATTTAGAAATCCCTCGCGTTGAACAATAGAAAGAAGACATCGCGCACATCCTTTCCAAAGGACAGTTTAAAACAACGAAAAAGCATCCAGCTATTCCGAGTGGAAATATCGAGTGCTTACTGCACCTCTATTGGATGCCATAGCCGCAACTACCATGATCCGTGGACCATGATGCGGGCCTGGTGGTGCACACAGCCATGGGATTTTCAGGGACTGCGAAGTTGCTCTGGAAGACAACGCATTGTTTAAAGGATTCGGCAAGTGAGTTGTTGACTTATGCCGAGTTCTAAGATCTGTGCACAAGCAACTTGGGATCTATGCATCCCTGTGACCGCACGCTGTGGAGGACAAGGGACACCTGAAGTACTACCTTGCTCCGAAGATTGAAGAGTGAGACTGAGCGTGGATTGTGCGGAGATATTTCTACTCATGCAGGCGGGGCCTGCAGTTTCACAGGGACATAGGGTGGAGCCACCTCAGAGCTAGTTTCTTGGTTTTGCAGGTGCACGACAAGGCCTTCTGTAAATCGAGAGAGGTTCCACTGTGATGCGAGAGCCGGGCATTGAGTCTTGCGTGAAGCGTGCAAGATGCTTCCAACCCTCAGTTCCTCCATGATAACCTTTAACGTGAGTGACGTCTCAACAACCTTGACGAAGACTTGTGCCCGGGGTAGGTCGTCTCGTAACAACCAAGCAAACATTCCGAAAAAATCGCATATTTATGCGATTCAGAACAGAAACCTTAACGTGGAAGAGAAGTATCAAACAGATAGCTGAAGAAACAAAATGCAGATGGTACCCCTAGGCATAAAGATTAGTTCTAGCGTCCCCGAAAGCCCGTCAAAGCCAATACCAGGCTCGGTGGTGCTGTTGCCGTTCTTGGATATTACTGTTGATACATGTTGATACTTATGTTGAAAAATAGTCCTTATGATATTTGTATTGTGTTTTCGATTGGTTTTGTCCAATAAAAGGGTGTCGTGCCGCATGCATCGATGATTCTCGACACGCCCCTGCCCCCTATAATTTCGTCTTTTGAAGCGTTTCTTCGTGATAGCCTCTTATCTGGTTGACTCGCGGTAACAAAATTCTTCAGATTTTAGGATGACGCTCTCGCGGTAATAAAGTTCTGCAGATTGCGTGCAGGCGTTATAACGGACTCTTCATGTGACAGCCGCTGGCGGATAACGGACTCTTCATGTGACAGCCGCTGGTTATTTTCATCACCCGAGCGTCTGGAAATCATACAGAAACTTCCTTTAATCAGCGGTTGAATTACAAAGCTGATGCACCTGTAAATCTGGTTCGCGACCGGGTTAGTGTCCGGGTTCGTGTTAGGCTTCCTGTCCACATCGCGTTTGGGTTAGTGTCCGGATTCGCGACCGGGTTCGTGTTTGGGTTCGTGTCTGCATCGCGTCCGATGCGTGGTTCGTGTCTGGGATTCCATTTTCAAAAATAAAATATATGATAATATAAAAAATATATATATTGTCATGATAAATATATTATTATAATAAATATAAGCAAT